TTTAAAAAAAAGAAGTGAGAATTGGCAAGACTTTGTGTCACATACTTTGGCCATATTATCAGGAGAGGCAAGCCCCTTGAAAGGACAGCATGTTTGGTAAAGCAGATGGTCAGTAACCAATCTCCATGAATGACACGTAACCACACACCCCTCCAGGGGGACAAACAACAGAAACCATGGGGGAAGGGAGAAAGCGATCAGTGTAAGATATGAAAATCATAATCATTTATAATTTATCAAGGGGTTACGAGGGGGGGAGGGAGGGGGAAAAGAGGAGCTGATTCCAAGGGCTCAATAAAAAGTAGATGTCTAGAAAAGAATGATGGCAACACATGTACAAATATGCATGATACAATTGATGTATGGATCATTATAAGAGTTGTAAGAGCCCCCAATAAAATGATCTTTTTTTTTAAAGAAGTAGAAGTGAAAAAGGAGTAACCCTTCAAAGAGATGTGTTGACACAGTGTCTGCCACAAAGGGCTCAAATATGACAATGATTATGGGAATGGCACATAACTTGGCAGTGTCTTGGTCTGTTGTGCAGAGGGAATTAGGAATAGGAATAGGAATATTCATTAGGAATAGGAACTGACTTGACAGTACCTAACAACAACAGCATCATCCATCCCAACATCTTACACTACCTTTGGCTTTGAAATCGTCAGAGGTAGGTTCTCAATCTCAGTCCCAAGCAGAAGTCCCTGTGCTGCTTGGGAAACTTCCCCCTATGCATTCTTCTGTATCAAAGGGCATGGACTTTTGCTGTTGTAAATCCAAGGAACTAAAAATATGGAGTGCTTCATGAATGTGCTTGTCATCCTTGGGCAGGGTCCATGCTAATCTCCGTATCATTCCAATTTTAGTATACGTGGTGCCAAAGCAAATACTGGACTTGTTTATATTTGTGTCACTTAAGGGTCATTCTGGAGACAAAACTTGCTCCAAAGGAAGAATAAAGCTCTCAAAGGCCATCAAATCTCTTTTCTAAAATCTGCTAGCAACCAGCAACCTCCAAATGGCAGCTTCCTGCTAAGAATATAAGTAAGCAAAGTTCCTCTTTGCTGGTGGTCCCATGACACATAGTTTTGCCATCCCTGCGTTAAGAGCGCAAACACCCTGGCATCTACAGAGCAAGGGAAGGAGCTAGGGAGTCAAGGTTGAGGGGGTTGAAGACAAGACTAGAGACAACAAATTGACCACAATTTTGCTGCTTGCTTGCCGAACAGTCAAGAGGGACTATGCGGGCTCATGCACAAGTCGCGGAAGCCCTGCCCTGGAGCACACAGACCTGGGCAAAAGGTCCGCACAGCCTTCTCTTTGCTTATGATCAACGTGGGGACATTCACACTGACACTTTTGATTGAGGTCATTAGAGCAGTGGTCTTCAAATGGTGGTCCCCAGACCAGTACCATAAAAACCTTTTGCTACTTATTAGAAGCAGAACAGAAGCAGAAACAGAACTTGCTAGAAATGCTAGAAATGCACATCTCAGGCACCACCAAGATTTTGAAAGCAGCACAGTCAGAATGCTTCTTAGAAGCAAGGATGGCGAGGTTTGGCAAGGTTTGGTTTCGCGGACTGGCGAAAAGCATCATGGAAAAAAGAAAGCCGTTCAAGGAGAAGCGTTGGTGCAGTGGCTCCCACAATGCACTCACACCTAACAATGAGGAGGATGGTGACGGCTGTGATTCATTCTGGTGGAGAAGCAGCAGCCTCGCAGGCACCAAACACCAACAACCACACCCTGGATCTGCGGCGCCAGAAACTCTGGAGGTGGGTCCCCAGCCCCAGTTTGTGTTTAATCACCTCCAGGTGATCCTGATGCTCATTCAAGTATGAGAACAAACAGCCTAAATCTATTCTGATCAACAAGCTCTGTTCTGTGTGCTAGGGTGGAGTTGGGGTTAGAGTTGCCAGATT